CGCGCTGCTGGCCCGCGAGCGGCGAGCTGTGCGGCGCCTCGTCAAGATCCTGCTGCTAGGCGCGGGCGAGAGCGGCAAGTCCACCTTTCTCAAGCAGATGCGCATAATCCACGGCCGCGAGTTCGACCAGAAGGCGCTGCTCGAGTTCCGCGACACCATCTTCGACAACATCCTCAAGGTGATGCGAGGCCCCGCCCACCCTTCGCACACCTGTGCCCAGGTGGGGCGCAGGTAGCAGGTCCCGGCCGCCTTGTCCTCCCGCGTAGCTGCGGCGCCGGCCTAGTTCGCCCCGTTGTCTCCTGCCTGGCATCGGCCAGGTGTCCCCAGCTCTGTCCCCAGCGCAGTATCTAGCGGGCCGCCTCAGGGTCACCTGGGATCCTCCACCCCTGCACAACCTCTTTAGTTTCCCCAAGGTCCTGGGGGCTTTGCCCTTTCTCGGACGCCTGGGGACATAGCTACTGGAAGCTGGCCGAACGTCTGGGGACTTGGGGACTGAAAGAGGGGGTCTTGATGCGAGAGAACTCCCCCCTCCCGCCCTGGCTGGCGCTGCATCCCCCGTTTCCCCTGAGCTTCGTAGGATGAAGGCTCTGAATTTTCCCTGCCCACTACCAGGCCTTTAAGAGCTCTGTAGACTGGGAGGAACCAGCGGCCAGTCGTAATTTTTTTTTTTTTTTTTTTTTTTTTAGTAGGCAAATTTTAAACATACATATGTAGAGAAGATAGTGGGAAGAACTGTAAGGTACCCATTTCCCAGCTTCACCTCTGATCAATTCCGTGCCAGTCCCCTTCACCTATGCCCCCTCAATCTTGGAACAAACCCCAGATATTGTGTAGTTGCTTTAGAAAACATTTTAGTATGTTTTGCTAAAAGACAAGGCCTTGTTTTAAAAAACATGATCACGGTACCACAAGCAACCTTAAAAAATAGTAGTAACTCCTTACTGTCATCAAATATTTAGTCAGTGTCCAGATTTCCTCCATTGTTGCACAGTTGTTTTATGTGTTTGAACCGGATACAGATAATATCCTTACATTGTGACGAAGCTCCAGGTTCAGTTTCTAGTTCCTTTTATAGTCTTTGCCGTATTTGTAAAAGAAACACTGCAGTTGACGGAGTCTGGGGTCCTGACTTTCACCTCTGTGAGTTGTGGAAAGGGCCCCAAAGGAAATCTGAAGAAAACTGACATAGGAAAAGGAGAGTCTGTCCTACACCTAGATGGGATCATTTCCTCTTTGAGTTTCTTATCTTTACACTTTTCTTGCCCCCTCCTGACTTATGCCAACCCATTTTGGGGAAGCCAACTTACAGACAGGTCTGAGGAAAGTTGTATTGAAGCAGAGATGGAGAGAAGTTTGTCACACCATAAAACCTGCCTGGAGAGTAGCTTATATAGTGCCTGAAGGATTTTAAATTTAGCAGAAAGCCCTTAGAAACCCATCTAGGACATTTTCTTTCACTTTGGTGTGTGTCGGGGGGTGCTCTGGGCCCGGCCTTGGTGCTGAGATCCTGGGCTCTAGATTTCCAGGCTCGTATTCTCACTTTATGTTTTTGTTTCTAAAGTATTTCATTTTGATAAAAATAACTTGCTTGGGATTGTGATGGGAAGAAAATAGTTTGAATGATAAGACATCCCTTTCCTCTTCACCTCTTTCAGAAGCCTCGCGGAGTGAGGTCTCTGGCCAAATACTTCATCAACTGTAAAGAGGAGGCACCCAGTGCAGCTCACTAGAGATCAGCTGTGTGTTTCAGAATTCCCCCATCTTCCGGGGTGAAATATGCCATTTCTCTCTCTGGGCTGTCAAAGAGCCTGATTTTACTTTTCACTGCCTTCTTAAACCTCAGAACTAGGCACATTTGGCTGGCTATCTCCCAGTTTAAATTCTGGTTTCTTTCAACTTGGGAGGCAGAGAAAATATTTAGAAATAGATCTTGAATCTATTGGTGTATTAAGTACATTAAAAAACACAGTCGTAACTTTTTTCCTGATGCATATAAACATTAACTTTTCTTGGCTTCCTTATCAACAGAAACAATATATGTTAACTAGTATTCCATTTTCCTTCCCAAATTTTACTAGTTCCTTATTAAACTCATTTTCTCTGTTGTGAGCATTTTAATTAGTTAGAAATTCATCTTTCCATTTAAAACCAAATTTTTTTTCTTTTTGTCCACCTCTGTTTTTATTTGACCAGAATACTTTGAAAAGGAACTTTTTAAATAAGTTGCTTTGTAGTGGCTTTAGTTGTGGATATTTGAATGATACTATTTAGATTAATATTTACATAGAGATTTACTGTTAATGGGCTTCTTTTAAAGTACTACATGCTATTCATACTGGGTCAGAGCCTCCCATATGTGGCATTTATTTTTTTTTTTTTTAACTGGGGATCATACTCAGGTCCTTGCGCTTTCAAGGCAGGCAGCAGAACCACTGAGCTAAACCCCCGGCCAGCATTTAATTTTTATAAGGCTCTAAGTGTGACGGTGTCCCATTTATTTAGCACATGAGGGAATTGAGGATAAGGAATTTTCTACTCAAGGTCAGCTGCCTCATTATCAGGTGGCAGAGCTAAGAACCAAACCTAGTCTTTTTGCCTTTTTTTAATTAAAATTTTAATTTTGAGATAATTGTAGAGTCCTGTGTGATTGTAAGAATAACACAGAGATACTGTGTATGCCCTACCCACTTCTACTCAATGGTAATATCTTAGAAAACTGTAGTACAACTTATAAGCAGGATATTGGCATCGATATAGTCCAGATACAGAACAGTTGCATCACTAAAAGGATCCTTCATGTTGCCCTTTAATAGTCATTCCTTCCTCCTTCCCCTCCCTTACCCTGGTGGTGAGTAATCTGTTCCCTAATTCTATAGTTTTATAATTTCAAGAACATCATATAAACAGAACCATCCAGAATGTGACATCTTAGAATTGGCTTCTACCACTCGGCACAGTTCCCTGGTGATTCATATCCAAGGGCCTGCAAATATCAATAGTTCTTGCTTTTCTCTTGCTGAGTAGTATACCATTTAATCATTCACCTGTTGAAGGATGTCTTGGTTGTTTCTAGTTTCTACCCATTATGAAGAAATCTTCTTTAAACACTCATATACATGCTTTTATGTGTACATAAATTTTCATACATCCAGGATAAACGTCCAACAGTACACCTATTGGCTCATATGGTAGTTGCTTGTTAAGTTTTATAAGAAATTAACAGACTGTTTCCCTAGGGGTGTGCCATTTTTCCTTGCCACCAGCATGTATGAGAGATACAGTTTCTCTACATCCTTGTCAGCATTTGGTGGTATCGCTTTTTTTTTTTATTTCAGCCTTTCTGATAGATGAGGAATGATAATCTTCTTATGGTTTTAATTTGCATTTCCCTCATGCCTACTGATGTTATAAATATTTTATATGCTTATTTGCCATCCTTTTACCCTCTTCAGTAAAATATTTCTTTATATTTTTATTATATTCTTATAAGGTTGCTTGTTTTTTATTATTGAGTTTTGGGAATTCTTTATGTATTCTGGATACTAGTTCTTTGTCATGTTGGTTTGCACAGATTTTCTTTCAGTCTAGTTTTTAATAGCCTCCTCTTAACAGTATCTTTCACAGCAAAATTTTTAATTTCAGTGAGATCCAGGTTTAATTTTTCTTGCTATAGATGATTGCTTTTGGTTTTAGGTTTGAGAATTCTGCTTAGCCTTGGATTCCACAGATTTTGTTGTTTTTTTTAAAGTTTTATAGTTTTACATTCAAGTGCATGATCTATTTTTGAGTTAATTTTCACAGTTGGGTTTTTTTGTTTTGTTTTTGTCTATGACTATTCATTTGTTCCAGTACCATTTGTTGAAAAGACCATCCTGCTATTGAATTGCTTCTGTATATCTGGGCATATTTGGTCTGTTTCTGAGTTCTCTGCTCAGTTCCATTGATTTGTATGTCTGTCCTTGTGCTGATACTATTACAATGTGTTGGTTTACTGCTGCTATGTGTTAGTATCAGAAGAGTGATTTCTCCCACTATTTGTTTTTCAAGATTGCTTTAGTTATTCTAAAGCCTGTGCCTTTTTTCCTCATAAATTTTAGAAGTTATCTTGTTTATGCCTATATATGTTTGTTTTAAAAAAAAACTTCTCTGGGATGTTGATAGTAATTGCATTAGATCTCAGGATCAAATTGGAGAAAATTAACATCTTTACTCTGTTGAGTCAGGCTGTTGATGAACACACTTTATCTTCATTCATTTAAATCTTTGATCTATCTTTCTTTTCCATTTTTCAGGATGTTTTAAGTTTACATCTAATTATTTACTTTTCTTTAAAGCAGTTGTAAAGTATTTTGTGCCTTTACTTCAGTTTCCACATGCCCACTTTTAGTTAAACAACATGATTCAGTTTTGCGTCTGCTTTTGCTTCCTTTGACCTTTCTGAACATAATGGTTATGAGAGCTTTCCTGTGGATTCCTTGCGATATTCTACATAGACCAGCATGTTAGCTACAAGTAGTGACAGTTCTTGTTTCTCTTTCCCAATAGGTATGTCTTCTATTTCTCTTTCTTACTTCACTGCAGTGGCTGGAACTTCCAGTGTTATGCTGAGTAAAAGTAGGGAGAGTTTCAGTGTCTTGTTGTTTCCTGATATTAGTGATTTATGTCTTCTCTCTCCATTTTTTGTCAGTCTTCCTAAGGGCTTACAAGTTTTACTGACCTTTTCTCCTAATCAAAAGAACCAGCTTTTTATACCATTGTTTTATTTTTCCCCATATATAGTTTCGTTGTTTTTATTTCCTTTACTGTTTTTGTCCCATTTATTTTATTCTTCTTTTGTTTTGTTTTTTGTTTTTTGTTTTTTGTCTGCTCTAAGATTTGCCTCCTTTCTAATATAAACAGTTTAAGGACTATAAATTTCCCTCTCTGCACTACTTTAGCTGTGTTCATATATTTTGGTATGTTATACTTTCCCCCCACTTCATTGAGTTTATTGGTACATTTTAGGTATACAGTTCAGTTACATTCATTATTGGGATCTTGTACCTTACATGACAGGTCTTGGTTCTCGTTTTTTCCCCTTGTCCCTGTCCTCCCTTCACCCCTCCTCCCCTCCCCATTTACAAACACTTTATTTCCATCTTTGCATTTTGCCATATTTTTTCTTTGCCCTTATTCCCT